AAGTGCATTTGTTCTTGGATTGAGGAGGTAAAAGAGACATTTTGCCAATGGAACAAGACAATTTACATTTAAAATAAGAAAACACAATCGCATTGTCATATTTCAAGTGCATATCATCTAATTGTCTTATTTTAATAGTAAAAATGCTCATTCCATTGGCTCACTATCTCATTTACCTACTCAAATTAAGGGTACCAGAAATACACTTAATTTAAGAAATCTTTTGTTATTTCTAGATCATTTTTCCAGTGTAGATATACACACTTCCTGGAAAAAGCATGTTTTGACATCAAAACCACACACCTTAATGTATTCGTTTGGTATTTAAAAAACAAATGAAAAGAGAAGGACACATCTGCCCGCCCGCCAGACGTGGCTATTTACCTGAACTGACCAAGCAAACAGAGGATTAATCAGAAGAGCTCATTGTAAATCCGGAAGCTTTGCAGAGATCCACAGCTGCGAATCTACCCGCCCTCATGTCCATCACATCAAATCCTAATTAAACCCACTAATGTTTTTTGTTATAAAGCCATAAATCCTTTTTATACATCAATTTCCATTGGAATAGAAGAACTTTGGCCTCTCTCTTAAGTATTTCCTACTTCTTTAGGAAACAAATCGAGTAAGGATTGGCTTAAATCGCACCAGAAACACTGTTTAGGTTAAAAGCTGGGAAGGACTCCAAGTAAAGCCTGGCAGGCTGAGTTGATCAATTGAACAAACAGTGCTTTGTAGTTCCTGGAGTGCAGCATGTGGGATAGTGGGATGAAGGGAGTGGCAGATTTAAGGAAAAAACCCCAAGGGACCCTTCCTGTGACTGTCCAACCCTTTCAGCAGTGTTTGCTCTTTGTCTTGCCTTTTATTGGATAATTTCTTTAAGGCTTATCTTGCTATCTGATCGAAAGCCAATTGTTGAAACATTTACCTGAGGTGATGCTTTAGCAAGTGTCCTAGGACCTTGATCTTGATTTGATGGCGGCGATGTCAATTTATAATATTTTAGGTGGAAAATTAAAAATTGCATCTTTAGGACAAGTGGAGTGGTTTCCACGTCTTGAAGTGCAAAATTCTTCTACAAGAGTTTATTTAAAGGTTCTTTTAGAAGGTGTGGGGTCTCGGCTGCAGTGCGCTTCAGCGCGCCTCACTTTGGACTGATAGCATCTTCCTTTGAAGAGATTAGCCAGAGGTTTAGGGTGGGGTTGGTGGGGGTTGGGGTTTTAAGTGTGTGTGAACTGATTAAACTGAGGTGTGTGCTTTTAGGGTTGTGTAAAAGAAGTCATGGGGTGGCTTTTTGGGGGAAGGGCCAGACTATGGGTTGTTCTAGAGTTGGATTGTAGAAAAAAAAAGTGACTGTGCGAAGAAATAACCCACCAAAGTCCAATGAAGCAAAATATCCAGCATTAAGATCATTCCTGATTATTGGCCTGCATGCGAAAAACTATTTGATCCCTTAAAAACTTAAGGATGCTGTTATATCACTTTACCTGGTTTGAAAATGACTGAAGTTATTCATGCAGGCATGTTCTTAATTTATTTGGATTTTTTTGTTGCTGTTAAGGATCTAGTCACGTAGTATGTCCTCATGAATTTCTACCAAGTATCTGACTCTGGTTGCATAAAAAAGGTCCTCAGATTAGATTATTGGACAATGTTGGCCAGATATTTTTCTGTGTTTCACCTGTTTGTTAGTGATCAGAGTCCTTTGTGTATATTTATCATAACAAGACAACCTGACTGGAGGTAAATAAACAATAAAGAGAACCATATATTATGAAAATGGGCGAAGCAATGAAGTGAGTTAGCGACACAGGGCCAGGCATGAAAAGAAAAATAAATAGTCCAAAACTAGTGTTCTGATCACTCTCATTAAGGAATACGGATGAAGTGTCTTGCACGCGACATTGAAGGCTGGAGCTGGGGTTTGAACTGACAACCCTTTGGTTGCAGGGCAAAAGGTAGATACCAGGATTCTTGCCATTGCATTTCAGCATAGCAGGCCACTGTGTTCAAATTTGTTCCAGCTATACAGAAAATTCAAGCCTCTATGCAAATTTTTATGACAGCAGCAGCTCTTTGACTGACATCTGGTCCAGTCCAGTGCATTTCACCACAAATTTTGGTTATACGTTATGTTGGTACCCCTAAGAAAAACCCACACTAAGTACAGAAATAACTACAATCTTACAAATGTTATAATTAAAAAAAAAATTCTATAGATATAAACAAATGAAAGTCAGACATTGTAATCTAGTACTTGCTCAGCAGTGGGGCTCTGCACAGCTCAGTTGCGGGTTTTCCGGCGTGTCACAGATCACAGATCTCTTTACCTGGTCAAAACCAGCCTATTAACAATAAATGGCATCAAAACAGCGTGGTGCGACCTGGGATAATGACAAAGGCAGAGGACGCTATCCAGGCACGTAAGTTCCTATGAACGCCGCCATTTTTGTTTGTGTAATTCCCGACTTGAGAGCTGCAGTATCGTGGACCACCTAGGAGGCGAGGAACCATAGTAGTGCGATGTGTAAATGGCCGTAAGAAACCAAACTCTGCACAGTTAACTGATCTAAGCTCGGTTCGAACTCGGCACGGATCGGTTTCATAGAGATAGTGTAAATTGGGCGTATGTTTTTTGGCGACATGGTGTGTACCACACTCAACATGGACCAGAGAAAGTAAAGTGTGTCTCAGGAGATTAGAATAATAATTGTACACAAAATAGGCAAGTTAAAAGTAAAGGATATAAGACAGGGGTGTCAAACTGGTTCCAGAAAGGGCCGAGTGGCTGCAGGTTTTCTTTCCAACCAAGCAATAGCACACCAGACTCCAGTCATTTCATAATGTCATCATGTTCAGATTGGACTCACTTGATGAGATGATAGGAGTCTGGTGTGCTACTGCTTGGTTAGAAAGAAAACCTGCAGCCACTCGGCCCTTTCTGGAACCAGTTTGACACCCCTGATATAAGACTATTACCAAGCTAGGGGTGGAACGGTTCACAAAATCCACGGTTCGGTTTGGTTCACGGTCTCGTGGTCACGGTTTTCGGTTTGGTTCGGTATATGTTGATTGTTAGCCTGACATTATGGTCGTGTTGCTGTTAGCATAAACAAAACGTGTTGCACAATGTTTGCACACTGTTGCACTTTTATCCACATCTTTCTTTCCGCCGTCATCGTAGGTCACTCTAAATGCAAAGCGGTCCCATACAGCAGACCTATAAAGTGCTGCTGGCGCGTCTTCCAACTCCTGTTCTTTCCCACTCGCCATACCCACACAATTCTCCACAACAACTGATTTTTTTCTGCTACACCCGGTTAAGCTGCTTCGCTTCTTCTTCTTGTTTACTACTGGTGGTTGGCTTTGGTCGCAGTACCGCCACCTTCTGCTCTGGAGTGTAAACGCTTCGCCTATGAAAAAAAGGAGAAGCGCATGAACCAAACGCAACACACTGAACCGGACGGTTTTCATAAACCGTTCCATCCCTACTCCAAGCAGATTGATGTTCATGTGATTACAGCTGCACATATTACTCTAAAATTCGTAGGTCTCTAGCCAACCTTCCTGGAAAACCAACCAAAGAGACAGATATTACAAATGTTAACGAA